TAGCTTTGTGGAGGATAGCGGAGGGATAGCCCACCCATTTGTTTTCTTAGAATTATTTCATTTAACTTTATTATTATTTTCCAATTTCACCAGAGACAGACAGAGAAAGAGAGAGAGGGAAAGTGAGAAAGGAAGCCACCAGGTCCAGGACTTGAACCATGGTTTTGGCCATGTGGGAGTCCAGCGCCTTTAACCACCATGCCACCTGCCGGCCCCCAGTCCACCCACTTAAAGTACACACTTGAGCGTTCTGTGGCCCGTTCAGAGCTGGCAGCCGTCAGCAGTCTGTCCTAGAACATCGCCGTCACCTGCCAGCGGGAAGCCCGCACCCGACCACTTTGGTTCACTATCCCCATGAGGCTCCGGCCCTAGACAGCCACTCTGGGTTGTCTGGACGCTCCGTGTAAGCGGGGTCTTACACACCATGCTTTCAGGGTTCGTCCACGCGGTAGCACGCGGCAGCGCGTCGTTCGTTTCAGCGGCTGGAAACGTTCCGCATGTGGGCAGGCCACATTGTGTTTGCCCGTTTACCCCTGATGGACGCTCGGGCGTGTGTGCCTTCTGCAGTGACAATGCTGCCATGAACCTGTACGCCCAAGTATTTTTGTGGACATGTTTTCATCTCTCTCAGGCACATGCTCGGAGTAGAAGGGCCAGTCCCTATGATGACTGCGTTTAAGTTTCTGAGAAACTTCCAGATTGTTCTCCGGTATGGCTGCCCCAGTTTCCATCCCGCGCCAGCAATGCACGAGAGTCCTAGTTTCTTCATATCCCTGTCAACACTTGCTATCTGTTTCTTTGATTACAGCCACCTGCAAAAGTAATTTTAGTAAACTGATCCTTTGTGTGTGAGAGAGATTTTTGCTCATCAGAGAGACAGAAAGCTAGAAATCGCCCCCCAGGGGGGATGGCCACACTGCAGCCCCTTCTCCTCCATTCTCCTCTCAGGACCTTGGGCACATGCTCACACACCTGGTGTGAGTTTTAGCCACCAGGTCTAGGACTCAAACCGCAGTGGACTACGCACAAGTCCAGCGACATAGCCATTCTGTCCTTTGCTGGTCCCAGTAAACCGATTGTATTCATCCTCGTGTCCCTGCGAGCCTTTGTGTTTTGGTTCCGCAGCCGAGGGGGAACTGAGGCTCAGAATGTTTCAGATGCTTGAGCCCCTTGGAGAGAGGCCTCTTCAGATATGCAAGGCTACCTTGCCTGCATGGGTGGCCCCAGGGTCTTCACAGCCTCTCTTCTTTACAGAGGGGTTTGTCCTGACTGTCCAGAGACTGGGGGACATGATCCCTCAGAGGCGGGTGGAGCTTTAGGACCCCTGTAGGCAGGGGTTCATCTACTCCTCTCTTTGGAGGGCTCGAAGGGGGCAGGGGCAGTGCCAGCTTCGGGGGTGTGCTTGGGGCATTTCTAACCTGGCTGTCCCTGATGGTATAAGGTAAACATTTGCCCAAAATAGAGTGTATTTTCCTTCCTTCCTTCCTTCCTTCCTTCCTTCCTTTCTTCCTCCCTCTCTCCCTTCCCTTCCCCTTCCTTCCTTCCTTCCTTCCTTCCTTCCTTCCTTCCTTCCTTCCTTCCTTCTCTTTCCCTGCCTTCCTTTCTTTCTCATTTTTTATTATTATTTTAGTTTTATTTATTATTCTTATTTAATTTGACTAGAGAGAGACAGAGAGACAAAGGGAAAGTGAGAAAGCAAGCCACCAGGTCTGGGACTGCAGACCATGGAGTAGCCATGTGGGAGTCCAGCGCCCCAGCCATCACGCCACCTGCTGGCCCGGCGTCTTCTGTTTCTTGCAAAGGTGCTGTATGTGCTGGCAGGGGCCTCGCCCGTCTCTCCCAGGGAAGCAGATGGCCCCAAGCTCTGGCAGCCTGAGCTGCTCCCGAGGGGCAGGGTGGGGTTGGCGCTGCCCTGGGCGGGCTGTGACCCCATGCTGTCCCCAACCCTGGCAGGAGCTGGAGCTGGTGGAGGACGTGTGGCGTGGGGAGGCACAGGACCTCCTGTCGCAGATCGCCCAGCTGCAGGAGGAGAACAAGCAGCTCATGACCAACCTCTCCCACAAGGACACCAGCTTCTCCGAGGAGGAGTTCCAGAAACACGAAGGTAAGAGGAGGGGCTGTCCCGTTCCCATCGCTGCGTCATCACTAACGGTCATGGTACCACGGTCCCTGAGCCTCTGCGGGGTGCTTTCTAGTTTCCAAAGCCTTTGACTGCTTTTGTCATGTTGATTTGCACCAGAAAAAATGATGGCAGCGCAGAGATTGGTCCACTCAGACCATTCTAGATTCCCCTCCGGCTCTCTTTCTCTCTCTTTTTTAAAAGAATTATTTACGGGACCAGCAGTTGGCGTAATGGCTATGTCGCTGGACTCCCATGTAGTCGATGGTGGCTCGAGTCACAGACCTGGCGGCTTAAACTCACTCCAGGTTCATGTGTGTGCATGCCCAAGATCCCGAGAGGAGAATGGAGGAGAAGGGATTTTGGTGTGGCTATCCCCTTGGGGGGTGATTTCTCACTTTCTGTCTGTCTCTCGGCAAGTTCCCATCCCCTATAGCAAATACCTCTCAAAAAAAAAAAAAAAAAAAGAATTATTTACTTGGGGCCAGCAGGTAGCCTGGCTTTAAGGGCACTGGACTCCCACATGGATGACTGCAGTTCGAGTCCCGGACCTGGTGGCTAACTTTCTCCCTTACCTTCACACTCTCTCACTCTGTCCCTCTGAGTCCAAAAAAAAAAAAAAGAATTATTTACTTGGGGCCAGCAGGTAGCCTGGCTTTAAGGGCACTGGACTCCCACATGGATGACTGCAGTTCGAGTCCCGGACCTGGTGGCTAACTTTCTCCCTTACCTTCACACTCTCTCACTCTGTCCCTCTGAGTCCAATTTACAAATAAATAAATAAATAAATAAATAAATAAATAAAGTTAAATATAATAATTTAAAAAAAGAGTTATTTATTTTATTTTATTAATTATTATTATTATTTTTAGATATTTTTGCTATAGGGCATGTGCACTCACTGGAGAGACAGAGAGACCGAACAGAAAGTGA